TGGAATAGTTTTAAAAATGCAGTATATTAGAATGTGGGGCAGAAGTTTGTGGTTATAGGAGGGTGGGGGCAGGAGGAAAGAGGAGTGATTGGTGGAATGATGAAGTAAAGGGTGTGATAAAAGAGAGAAAAAGGTAGCTTATGAGAGGTTTTACAAGCAGAAGTGTTATAAGAAGAGCAGAGTATATGGAGAGTAAAAGAAAGGTGAAGAGAGTGGTGAGAGAGTGCAAAAGGAGAGCAGATGAATGAGTAGGAGAGGCACTGTCAAGAAATTTTAATGAAAATAAGAAAAAATTTTGGAGTGAGTTAAACAAGTTAAGAAAGCCTAGGGAAGTATGGATTTGTCAGTTAAAAACAGAGTAGGGAGTTAGTAGATGGGGAGAGGGAGGTATTAGGTAGATGGCGAGAATATTTTGAGAAACTTTTAAATGTTGAGGAAAGAAAGGGAGGCGGTAATTTCATGCACTGGCCAGGGAGGTATACCATCTTTTAGGAGTGAAGAAGAGCAGACTGTAAGTGTGGTGGAGTACGTGAGGCATTACGTAGAATGAAAGGGGGTAAAGCAGCTGGAACTGATGGGATCATGACAGAAATGTTAAAAGCAGGGGGGGGTTATAGTGTTGGAGTGGTTTGGTACTTTTGTTTAATAAATGTATGAAAGAGGGGAAGGTACCTAGGGATTGGCGGAGAGCATGTATAGTCCCTTTATATAAAGGGAAAGGGGACAAAAGAGATTGTAAAAATTATAGAGGAATAAGTTTACTGAGTATACCAGGAAAAGTATACGGTAGGGTTATAATTGAAAGAATTAGAGGTAAGACAGAATGTAGAATTGCGGACGAACAAGGAGGTTTCAGAGTGGGTAGGGGATGTGTAGATCAAGTGTTTACATTGAAGCATATATGTGAACAGTATTTAGATAAAGGTAGGGAAGTTTATTGCATTTATGGATTTAGAAAAGGCATATGATAGAGTGGATAGAGGAGCAATGTGGCAGATGTTGCAAGTATATGGAATAGGTGGTAAGTTACTAAATGCTGTAAAGAGTTTTTATGAGGATAGTGAGGCTCAGGTTAGGGTGTGTAGAAGAGAGGGAGAATACTTCCCGGTAAAAGTAGGTCTTAGACAGGGATGTGTAATGTCACCATGGTTGTTTAATATATTTATAGATGGGGTTGTAAAAGAAGTAAATGCTAGGGTGTTCGGGAGAGGGCTGAGATTAAATTATGAGGAATCAAATTCAAAATGGGAATTGACAAAGTTACTTTTTGCTGATGATACTGTGCTTATGGGAGATTCTAAAGAAAAATTACAAAGGCTAGTGGATGAGTTTGAGAATGTGTGTAAAGGTAGAAAGTTGAAAGTGAACATAGAAAAGAGTAAGGTGATGAGGGTATCAAATGATTTAGATAAAGAAAAATTGGATATCAAATTGGGGAGGAGGAGTATTGAAGAAGTGAATATTTTCAGATACTTGGGAGTTGACGTGTCGGCGGATGGATTTATGAAGGATGAGGTTAATCATAGAATTGATGAGGGAAAAAAGGTGAGTGGTGCGTTGAGGTATATGTGGAGTCAAAAAGCGTTATCTATAGAGGCAAAGAAGGGAATGTATGAAAGTATAGTAGTACCAACACTCTTATATGGATGTGAAGCTTGGGTGGTAAATGCAGCAGCGAGGAGACGGTTGGAGGCAGTGGAGATGTCCTGTCTAAGGGCAACGTGTGGTGTAAATATTATGCAGCAAATTCGGAGTGTGGAAATTAGGAGAAGGTGTGGAGTTAATAAAAGCATTAGTCAGAGGGCTGAAGAGGGGTTGTTGAGGTGGTTTGGTTCATTTAGAGAGAATGGATCAAAGTAGAATGACATGGAAAGCATATAAATCTATAGGGGAAGGAAGGAGGGGTAGGGGTCGTCCTCGAAAGGGTTGGAAAGAGGGGGTAAAGGAGGTTTTGTGGGCGAGGGTTTGGGGATTTCCAGCAAGGTGATGAGGGTTGTGGAGTGAATGGAGAGTGATATTGGGGGCCCGAGATTGTGGGAGTGGAGCGGGGGTAATTTTAGTGAAGGGATTCAGGGATAAAAAATAGAAATTTTTAAAAGCAGGTGGGGATAAGTTTTGGAGGGTTTGGTGATTATTTTAAAAAAAATGTTGGAAGAGGGTAAGGGGACTAGGGTTGGGAGACAGCATGCATAGTTTCCCTTTTTATAAAAGGGAAAGGGGGTAAAAGAGAGTGAAAAAATATAGGGGGGTAAATCTGTTGGTGACCGGTAAGGTGTATGGGAGAGTTTTTTTAATTTAAAAAAATTAAGAGTAAGAGGGAAAGGGTAGCAGATGAAAAGGAGGCTTTAAAAGGTAGGGGGGTGTGTGGACCAGGTGTTTTCCTTTAAAATATAAATGAAAATATTTAGATAAGGGTAAGAGGGCTTTGTGGATTTTTGGGTTTTGGGAAAAAGGGTATGACAGGGGGATAGGGGGGCCAAAGTGGAATGTTGCAGTTTAATGGTGTGGATAGGGTTTCTGAAAGATTTAAGGTTTTTACGAGGATGTGGGGCTAAGTTTGGTTGGGAAAAGAGGGGGTTTTTTTCCCGTAAGGTAGGCTTGGGTGTGTGGGAACCCTGGTTGTTTAAAAATTTTTTAGAAAGGGGTTTTGGAAGTAAATGCGGGGTCTTGGCAAGAGGCGTGGAGTTTAAAAGAAAAGATCACACCAAAAAGGGGAGTTGTCACAGCCCGTCTTTGTGATACCTGTGCCCTTGGGAGATTCTGAAGAGAAGTTGCAGAGATGGTGGATTTTGGTGGGTGTGCAAAAAAGAAATTAAAGGTGAAACAGAAGATAAGGGTTTTGGGATAAAAAAAAGATTAGGGGAAAAAGATTGAATATGATTGGGGGGGAGAGTAGGGGAGGGGAACGTTTTCAGATATTTGGGGAGTACGTGTCAGCGGATGGGGCTATGAAAGATGAGGTGAAACATGAATTGATAGGGAAAAAGAGTGAGTGGTGCACTTAGGAGTCTGGGAGAAAAGAAAATTTTTTCCCGGGGCAAAGAGGGGAATGTAGAGGTATAGTTTTACCAACCTCTTTATGGGGTTTGGAAACGTGGGTGATGAATGTTGCGCGAGGAAAGGTGGAGGCAGTGGGGGAAGTCATGCGAGGGAATGTGTGGTGTGAATATAAGCAGAGAATTCTAGTTTGGGAAATTAGGGGGAGGTGGGGATTACCAAAAAATGTTTTCCAGGGGCTGAGGAAGGGTTGTTGAGGTGGTTCGGACATTTTAGAGAGAATGGAGCGAAACAGAATGACTTCAAGAGTGTATCAGTCTGTAGGGGAAAGGAAAGGGGCGGGGGTAGGGGTCGGCCTAGGAAGGGTGGTGGGGAGGGGGTAAAGGAGGTTTTGTGTGCGAGGGGCTTGGACTTCCAGCAGGCATGCGTGAGCGGTTGTTTGATAGGAGTGAATGGAGACAAATGGTTTTTAATACTTGACGTGCTGTTGGAGTGTGAGCAAGTAACATTTATAAAGGGGGATTCAGGGAAAACCGGCAGGCCGGACTTGAGTCCTGGAGATGGGAAGTCAGTGCCCTGCACTCTGAAGGAGGGGTGTTAATGTTGCAGTTTAAAAACTGTAGTGTAAAGCACCCTTCTGGAAAGGGAACAGTGATGGAGTGAATGATGGTGAAAGTTTTTCTTTTTCGGGCCACCCTGCCTTGGTGGGAATCGGCCAGTGTGATAATAAAAAAATAAAATAATTCAGGGAAACCGGTTATTTTCATATAGTCGGACTTGAGTCCTGGAAATGGGAAGTACAATGCCTGCACTTTAAAGGAGGGGTTTGGGATATTGGCAGTTTGGAGGGATATGTTGTGTATCTTTATACGTATATGCTTCTAAACTGTTGTATTCTGAGCACCTCTGCAAAAGCAGTGATAATGTGTGAGTGTGGTGAAAGTGTTGAATGATGATGAAAGTATTTTCTTTTTGGGGATTTTCTTTCTTTTTTGGGTCACCCTGCCTCGGTGGGAGACGGCCGAATTGTTGAAAAAAAAAAAAATGTGGTGGTTAACGCTCTCGCTTCACATGGTGAGGGCCTGGGTTCGATTCCCAGCCAGAGTAGAAACATTGGACGTGTTTCTTTCCACCTGTTGTCTATTTTCCCCATCAGTAAAATGGGTACCTGGGTGTTAGTCGACTGGTCTGGGTCGCATCCTGGGACACTGACCTAAGGAGGCCTGGTCACAGACCGGGCCGCGGGGGCGTTGATCCCCAGAACTCTCTCTAGATAAACTCCAGATAATCTCTATAAAATGTATTTTTTTGTGAATATTTTGGGTTTCTGGAATGGATTAATTGTATTTCCATTATTTCTTATGGGAAATATTGGTTCGACTTTTGAACATTTCGACTTTAGACCTAGCTCCTGGAACAGATTAAGTTCGAAACTCGAGGGTCCACTGTAAATAAATACAGGTCGGCCATCACTAATCCGGCATCACTGGGACCTGTAGTGTGCCATATTAGTGAGTTTGCCAGATTACAGAGTGGTTAGGTTAGAATACACTTAATTAACCTATCAACTGAGATTCTTTCTGCTGCATCTTCCTCGTTTTCGTCACTGCTTTCTCCTCCACTGGCTTGCTACTGTGGATTTACAACCATCTGCACAATTTCTGAGTCAATATAATGATGAAATTTGAAATTATGCTAGCTGAAATTAGTGCCGGAATACTGATGGAACCGGATAACTGATTGCCGGATTAGTGATGGTCGACCTGTAACTACTTTCACTGAATAAGTAAATATACAAATAATTACTATAACTAAATACCAGTATTGAAAAATCAATAAATGAATACAAGCAACAGACCTTGATGCTGGATAATTATCTTTAGTTTCACCTCCAGAGTAACTGCGTCTGAACCATCATAAAGTCCAAATATCATAAAATGAACCACTGTAAGTTTAGGAGCACCTGTATACAATAATCATGAATTGCTGTACATGTTACTTACTTGTCCATCGGACTCAGGTCCATCCACCGCCACCAATATACATTCACCATTAGAAAGATCTGGAAGCACATTGACTCTTTTCCGCTCTTTCCGACTTGCTTTCTTCTCTTTACGTTTTTCTTCCTGTATGAAGCATCATCATTAATTGAAATTAATCTTAAGCCTCAAATATGAAATAAACCAATTTAGGGAGTGTACACACAAATAACCCACACATAGGAGAAAGAAACTAATAACATTTTGGTCTGACTTGAACCGCGGACTATTAACCCTTAAACTGTCCAAACGTAGATCTATGTTCGCTCCCGTAGCACTCCGAATGTAGATCTACGTTCGGTTTTACATGCTTTCTTATGTAAAAGAAAACATAGATCTACATTTGGACAGTTTAAGGGTTAACTAGTCACATATTAACTAGTCACACACTATATGATTAGTTAATGGGCCACATGGGTACGAAACATCGTCATAAGTTTCTCTGCATACTATGACGTCCTGTGCACGCATGCCTAAAGGTCACCCATCTCTGTACAAGCATTGTATCGTGCTGAAATAAAGAATCTTTATTTTTCTCCTATGTGCGAGTTATCTGTGTTTTGTTCCAGTCACGGTGTTGTGACTTTTTGCTCTTAATTCAGGGAGTTCTGTACGTGCTCTGGTTTTTCAGTAACAAAGTAAATAAAAGTCGAGAAAGATAGATGACAGATCAAAATGGAGTGCTGTCAACAATTGTGAAGAAATAACACTTTGCACAACAAAAAGACACAATTTTGTGACTGCACCAATACACAAATAACCTGCACACAGGTGAGAAAAAAGCTTACAGCAATGTTTCAGTCCAACTTTGTGAATCTGTAAATAGTCAAAATCGGACTGAAATGTCATACGCCTTTTTCTCCCCTATGTGCAAGTTATATAGGTTTTATTTGTGCTACAGAGTGCACCTTTTCAACACAACTTGATGACACAGCGTTCAAAGTGGTGAAAGATGAACCTACATTATAATACAAGGGGAAGAAATACTTCATATTTGTCACAAAACTTATTGGAGGGAATAATACAACCCACGTAGCCCCTCTGAAAAGAAGGTAATAGAATAACCAAACATTGTTATTTTATCACGATAAACGTTTGTACAAAGGAGTGTAACAAAAGCCACTTTATATGCAGAGCATCTCGGGCAAACTTAAGACTAACTTAAGATTAATAAGGCAATAACAGTGCTGTAATTGTACATATGGTCATTAGGTGAGTTACAGTGAATACAAGAAAACTGGATATTCAACTACTTCATGCTATATGGCTTTAATGAGTTAGGTAGATAAGAGTTACAGTTTTGATATAGTATATAAAAAATACATTAATACAGTAGCACAATTTAAAACAAAGGAGTTGAAACAATTTTAAGTTTGAAGTAATGATTAAATAGTTGAGCAATAATCAAGCACAGGGACTGACAACCTCAAATCTACGACTTGCAGGGTGATGGACTGATTACATCATCTTCACATCTCTACTGTTCCTGCCTATTTTCTGTATTCGACTGAAGAAGCCTACTGTGTAGGCGAAACGTTTCAGAATAAAGTTGCCTAGCTGTTGCCTATGTGTCTTGCCTACCAACCTGTCGGTATTGTATACCATTTTGATATTCACAATATACAATAATGAAATTGAAAGAATTTTAAGTATGAAATGATCAAATAGTTGAGCAGTCATAAATTATTTAGGAGTTTTTTGAGTAACTGGTAGGTGTTAAGTATAATGTTTGTCAGGTTAATTTTGAGTGATGAGGCGATTTCTAAGTTGGGCCTTAAATTGATTTGCAGGCAGAAGGGGCCCTTTAGTGTGTTCAGGCAATGAATTCCAGATCTTCGGGCCCCTTATGTGCATAGTATTTTTGCATAGGGAGCAGTGGCATCTCGTCCATAGGAGCTGCAGAGCTGCAGAGCTGCAGTCCCCCAGATGCTCACTGCTAGACGTATGACTTCATCAATTTTACACCAAAATAATTTGCAACTGACAAATATATTACAGGGAAAACCTGTTGTATGTTGTTTTCAATGTATTTATAAGCGGCTTTTTCATCTTTTTGTTGAAATGAGATAAAAATTATTAAAAACAGAAGTTCGATGCAGTACGATAATATAGGTATTACTGGCGCTACAAGCCGCCACTGACAGGGAGAGATGGACACAACTGATATCGAAGAGTGATTTGTACCATGTGTTACGCCCGTGTGTTCTGTTGTAGTTAACAAGGAGGAGTTTGAGAGGAGAGTTAATATTTGAGTATAATGCTGTGTGTGTAGTAGGCACAATAATAAGTGTGGATGTTTTGTATATTAAGCAACTTAAGGCTTTTAAAAAGCGGTGAAGTGTGCTGTCTAGTGCAGGAGTTGATAATCAATCGCACTGCAGCTTTTTGTTGGGTCATTAAACGTTTAAGGTGATTTGCTGCGGTTGAGCCCCATGCACAAATACCATAGGTGAGGTAAGGGTAAATGAGAGTGGTACAGAGCAAGAAGAGCCATTTAAGGTACATAGTACCATATCATTGAAAGGATGCCTACTGTTTTGGAGACTTTTTTGGATATTTGCTGTATATGGGTCTGGAATTTGAGACATTATATGGAGGGTCAATTTATACTATCACAATCACTGTGAAGCACTAGGCTTACAGGGATCATACATTGCATGGGAACAGGAGGCAACAGTCGTATCCAAGAGGAAATTAGCTCAAATTTCTTGGATGAAGAGCCCTTACCCAAAGCATCAATGTACATTCTTTGATGTTATTTGATAGGCAAAAGTTGTACTGCAGATTATTCACATGTGATGGACACAAAACATCGAAGGTGATATGAAAAAGATCTGGAAAACTCTATCTGAAATTCTTGGAACTAAAAAGTTATCCAAAAACAAAACAATCAAATTAACAAAATCAGACGAACCCCAACTCACTCCAACTGAAGCAGCAAACAGACTCGATGTTTTCTTCTCTATCATAGGAAAGAACCTAGCGAGCAAAATCCCAAGCTCAAACACCTGTCCATCAGACTACCTCACAAGCACCTACCCGAATACACTATTCCTAGTTCCTACCAACTCAACAGAAGTCTCATTCATCATCAACACCCTTAAAAACAAGGCAGGAGACATAAACAACTTGCCAACCTTTATGTACAAAAAAGCTTCTTAAGTATTGTCACCAATTATTGCAACGCTCTTTAACAAATCCATTGAATCATCTACCTTCCCAACAATCCTCAAAATAGCGAGGGTCACTCCGATCCATAAAGGAGGTGACCAAGCTGACTTGAATAACTATAGACAAATATCTAACTTACCACTGCTCTCTAAAATCTTTGAAAATTAATTCATAGACAGATCTATTCCTACCTCGTTTCACACAACATACTAAACCCTTGTCAGTTTGGATTCAGGAATAATAAAAGCACAAATGATGCTATCATATACATGCTAGAACTAATATACAGTGTATACGGCTCTCTAGAAGAAAGAAGTCCCGCTGGGAATTTTCGATGATTTACGTAAAGCTTTTGATACAGTCAACCATAAATTGCTCCACACTAAGTTAACATACTATGGTATAAGAGACCACTCTCTCAACTATCTAAAGTCATACCTTAGTAACATAACTCAATATGTGTACACAAATGGTGCAAACTCTTCCGCTCAACCAATCACAGTAGGAGTCCCACAAGGAAGCGTCCTTGGACCACTCCTCTTTCTCATCTACATCAATGACCTACCGAATGTATCACAGCTACTCAAACCCATATTATTTGCAGATGACACTACATATGTCTTCTCCCACCCAAACACAGTCATACTCGCCAACACTGTCAATGCCAAATTGCAGAAAATATCTGCCTGGATGATGACTAATAAACTTACCCTGAATACTGACAAAACCTATTTCATTCAGTTTGGAAACAGAGCTGCAAATGTTACACTTAACATAATGCTAAACGGATCACCCGTCACAAGACTTGCAGAGGAAAAATTCCTAGGAATCCACCTTGACAGTAGCCTCAAGTTCCAGACACATATACAACAAATTACCAAGAAAATCTCTAAGACTGTAGACATACTATCAAAGATAAGGTACTATGTTCCACAGTCAGCTCTCCTTGCACTGTATCATTCACTCATCTACCCTTATCTCACATATGGATTTTGTGCATGGGGATCAACAACATTAAATCACCTAGTACCACTAATAACCCAGCAAAAGGCTGCAGTCAGGATGATAACAAATTCCCACTCGCGACAGCATACTCCACCAATATTCAAAAGTCTAAATTTGCTCACCATAAAGAACATCCACACTTATTCATGTGCGTACAACATACATAGAACAATACATGCAAACATAAACCCCCCACTCAAACTTCTCCTCACCAACCTTAACAGGACACATGAGCACAACACAAGACACAGATCTTTTTGATGTACCCCGTGTCCATATCACAGTGTGTAAAAACTCTATGCACATAAAGGGCCCCAAAATTTGGAATTCATTACCAGAAATATTTAAGTATCCCGGTCTGAAAATCAACTTAAGACTCTTCTCAAAAGCCACTTAATCACCCTAGACTAAATACTCAATACTTAGCATTACCAATATATCTCCCAATTACCTAAATCTTAAAACCTCAAGACTAGACGACCAAGTTCATACATTGACTAATTACGACATAGGAGTATAAATACCTATCAAAAACAGTATTGCCCTACACCAAATTGTAGCATTCTCATACTGTAAACTACTTTTAGCAAACCACAATGTTATATTATCATAATATAATTTCAATATTTACTTTTGAACCTATTGTCCATTGTCGACAGGAATATAATTGAATCATGTTTCATAAAAAGTATTTTTTGAAAATATGATAAAAGAGAAAAAGGTAGCTTATGAGAGGTTTTTACAAAGCAGAAGTGTTATAAGAAGAGCAGAGTATATGGAGAGTAAAAGAAAGGTAAAGATAGTGGTGAGAGAGTGCAAAAGGAGAGCAGATGATAGAGTGGGAGAGGCACTGTCAAGAAATTTTAATGAAAATAAGAAAAAATTTTGGAGTGAGTTAAACAAGTTAAGAAAGCCTAGGGAAAGTATGGATTTGTCAGTTAAAAACAGAGTAGGGGAGTTAGTAGATGGGGAGAGGGAGGTATTAGGTAGATGGCGAGAATATTTTGAGGAACTTTTAAATGTCAACGAAGAAAGGGAGGCGGTAATTTCATGCACTGGCCAGGGAGGTATACCATCTTTTAGGAGTGAAGAAGAGCAGAATGTAAGTGTGGGGGAGGTACGTGAGGCATTACGTAGAATGAAAGGGGGTAAAGCAGCTGTAACTGATGGGATCATGACAAATGTTAAAAGCAGGGGAAGATATAGTGTTGGAGTGGTTGGTATTTTTGTTTAATAAATGTATGAAAGAGGGGAAGGTACCTAGGGATTGGCAGAGAGCATGTATAGTCCCTTTATATAAAGGGAAGGGGGACAAAAGAGATTGTAAAAATTATAGAGGAATAAGTTTATTGAGTATACCAGGAAAAGTGTACGGTAGGGTTATAATTGAAAGAATTAGAGGTAAGACAGAATGTAGAATTGTGGATGAGCAAGAAGGTTTCAGAGTGGGTAGGGGATGTGTAGATCAAGTGTTTACATTGAAGCATATATGTGAACAGTATCTAGATAAAGGTAGGGAAGTTTTTAGTGCATTTATGGATTTAGAAAAGGCATATGATAGAGTGGATAGGGGAGCAATGTGGCAGATGTTGCAAGTATATGGAATAGGTGGTAAGTTATTAAATGCTGTAAAGAGTTTTTATGAGGATAGTGAGGCTCAGGTTAGGGTGTGTAGAAGAGAGGGAGACTACTTCCCGGTAAAAGTAGGTCTTAGACAGGGATGTGTAATGTCACCATGGTTGTTTAATATATTTATAGATGAGGTTGTAAAAGAAGTAAATGCTAGGGTGTTCGGGAGAGGGGTGGGATTAAATTATGGGGAATTAAATACAAAATGGGAAGTGACACAGTTACTTTTTGCTGATGATACTGTGCTGATGGGAGATTCTAAAGAAAAATTGCAAAGGTTAGTGGACGAATTTGGGAGTGTGTGTGAAGGTAGAAAGTTGAAAGTTAACATAGAAAAGAGTAAGGTGATGAGGGTATCAAATTATTTAGATAAAGAAAAATTGGTTATCAAATTGGGGAGGAGTATGGAAGAAGTGAATGTTTTCAGATACAGTGGACCCCCGCTTAACGATCACCTCCAAATGCGACCAATTATGTAAGTGTATTTATGTAAGTGCGTTTGTACGTGTATGTTTGGGGGTCTGAAATGGACTAATCTACTTCACAATATTCCTTATGGGAAAAAATTCGGTCAGTACTGGCACCTGAACATACTACTGGAATGAAAAAAGTTCGTTAACCGGGGGTCCACTGTATTTGGGAGTTGATGTGTCAGCGGATGGATTTATGAAGGATGAGGTTAATCACAAAATTGATGAAGGAAAAAAGATGAGTGGTGCATTGAGGTATATGTGGAGGCAAAAAATGTTATCTATGGAGGCAAAGAAGGGAATGTATGAAAGTATAGTAGTACCAACACTCTTATATGGGTGTGAAGCTTGGGTTGTAAATGCTGCAGCAAGGGGGCAGTTGGATTCAACAGAGATGTCCTGTCTAAGGGCAATGTGTGGTGTAAATATTATGCAGAAAATTCGGAGTGTGGAAATTAGGAGAAAGTGTGGAGTTAATAAAAGTATTAGTCAGAGGGCTGAAGAGGGTTTGAGGTGGTTTGGCCATATAGAGAGAATGGATCAAAGTAGAATGACATGGAGAGCATATAAATCTGCATGGGAAGGAAGGCGGGGTAGGGGTCGTCCTCGAAAAGGTTGAAGGGAGGGAGTAAAGGTGGTGTTGTGGGCGAGTGGTTAGGACTTCCAGCAAGCGTGCGTGAGCGTGTTAGATAGGAGTGAATGGAGACGAGTGGTATTTGGGACCTGACGAGCTGTTGCAGTGTAAGCAGGGTAATATTTAGTGAAGGGATTCAGGGAAACTGGTTATTTTATATAACCGGACTTGAGTCCTGGAAATGGGAAGTACAATGCCTGCACTCTAAAGGAAGGGTTTGTGATACGGGCAGTTTGGGGGATATATGGTGTATTTTTTACGTATATACTTCTAAACTTATAGGTAGTGGGTTGGTAAACAGCAACTGCCCAGGGAGGTACTACCGTCCTGCCAAGTGAGTGTAAAACGAAAGCCTGTAATTGTTTTACATGATGGTAGGATTGCTGGTGTCCATTTTTCTGTCTCATAAACTTGCAAGGTTTCAGGTACGTTTTGCTACTTCTACTTACACTTAGGTCACACTACACGTACATGTACAAGCATATATACACACAGCCCTCTGGGTTTTCTTCGAGTTTCTTACTAATTCTTGTTTTTGTTTATTTTCTCTTACCTCCATGGGGAAGTGGAACAGAATTCTTCCTCCATAAGCTATGCATGTTGTAAGAGGCGACTAAAATGCCGAGAGCAAGGGGCTAGTAACCCCTTCTCCTGTATATATTACTAAATGTAAAAGGAGAAGCTTTTGTTTTTCCTTTTGGGCCACCCCGCCTCGGTTTGATACGGCCGGTGTGTTGAAAGAAAGAAGATTTCTAAATTGTTGTATTCTGGGCACCTCTGCAAAAATAGTGATTATGTGTGAGTGAGGTGAAAGTGTTGAATGATGATGAAAGTATTTTCTTTTTGGGGATTTTCTTTCTTTTTGGGTCACCCTGCCTCAGTGGGAGACGGCCGACTTATTGAAAAAAAAAATGAATATATCCTTTGGTTTATATAAATTAGATTCATTTATAATTAATAGAACTATTGTACAATTATGATAAATTTCTTTAGTGTTAAGTAGTCAGTAAGCCATTAAATTAAGTCAGTCCATAATGCCTAGGCATAATAGAGGCTCTTTGTACTGCAACTCATTATTGCAAATACATAATCTCAGTGTACTACTTGCAAAGAAATAAATAAATTTGAATTTGAATTTGAAGTAAAGAATATATTCATGGGTAAGTGCTAAACCCATAAGGATCATAGAGCACCTGAGGAATATTTGATAATTAGATTTGCTTTGAGAAAGGGAAGGGTAATTCCAATTCCTGGGACCAAAAGCCCTTTACTAGTATTAAGGTGCATGACTCACGAAATCGTAATGACACGATTGCAAACAAACCACACCACGGGTGGGGTTAGAACCCACAATCAGAGAGTCACAAAACTCCAGACCACTGGGCCTGCTGGCTACAATAAGATTCATCCAACTACGTGTATTTCTACTCCATAGGAAGCTTAGCATAGGCACCACTGTGACCACAAATGAAGGTTTTTGTGACTCTCTGATCAAGGGTTCTAATCCCATCCGTGGTGTGGTTTATTAAGGTGCCTCCTTCCCCATGAAGGGAGGGAATGAAGAGAAGATCTATAATCACAGGCTTCAAAGAACAATTTTGGCACTATTTTGTGAAAGTTTAAAATATTGATAGCATTTGCTACTTTGCATTTCAACTGTAAAACTTAGATAACAGAAGCAGATATCAACACGTCTCCTTCAGAGTGCAGGCACTGTAGGCCTGGATGTGGGAAGTACAGTGCCTGCACTCTGAAATAGGGGTGTTGATGTGTCGCAGTTTTCTAACTGTAGTGTAGGCACACATCTGGTAAGACAGTGATGGAGTGATGATGAAAGTGTTTCTTCTGTTTTTGGTCACCCTGTCTTGGTGGGAAATGGCCAATGTGCTAATAAAAAGTAGATTGAAATATACCTCTTCTTGTTTTCTCTTCTCCTCTTCCTCTTTGTCTTTCTTCTCCTGTATTTTCCTCTCACGCTGCTCCTTCATCATGGCTAAGGCCTCTCGTACAATTGCAGGGCTGCTAGTCACCAAGAAGACAATGAGCTTGAGAAGCTGTACTGGTAAAATATTCCACCATCTGAGGAGACAATCATAGGTAACATCTACACAATTTTTCTATAGAATCACATGTAACATTTAACCAGAAATTCTTCAGCTACTAGTCACCATGAAAAATGGTGACAAGATGTGGAAAAAGATATTTATGTGCAGCTCAGGACATTTATTAGAGAAAACGTTTTGCCATGCACGGCTTCTTCAGTTCTAATACAGATATAACTGAATATACTGCATGGCTTCTTCAGTTCTAATATAGATGTAACTGAATATACTGGATATACTCTAGGTATATTCGTTCTTAGTTATCACTGTATTAGGACTGAACAAGCCTCTCACAGCAAAACATTTCCCCTAAAACATGTCCTGGACTGTACATAACTTTTCCCACACTAGTCACCATGTATGCTCCTACATTCTTAACTTTTAACATGGTGAAATGAACACAATGACTGTATTAATATTTTTTTCCATGTTCAACATGGAATCTTTCAGATTTCTGACCAAGAATTTTTGCCACCTTCAAATTGATTTAAAGTATTAATTCACACTCCCGATTGTACTACTGTAAATTGTAATATATTTTTGCTACAGAAGAAGGGGTTACTAGCCCCTTGCTCCTGGCATTTTAGTCGCCTCTTACAACAGGCATAGCTTATGGAGGAAGAATTCTGTTCCACTTCCCCATGGAGAAAAGAGGAAATAAACAAGAACAAGAACTAGTAAGAAAATAGAAGAAAACCTAGAGAGGTGTGTATGTATATGCTTGTACATGTATGTGCAGTGTGACCTAAGTGTAAGTAGAAGTAGCCAGACTGTACCTGAAACCTTGCATGTTTATGAGACAGAAAAATGGACACCAGCAATCCTACCATCGTGTAAAACAATTACAGGCTTCCGTTTTACACTCACGTGGCAGGACGGTAGTACCTCCCTGGGCGGTTGCTGTCTACCAACCTACTACCACAGGACTGTAGTACCTCCCTGGGCAGTTGCTGTCTACCAACCTACTACCACAGGATGGTAGTATCTCCCTGGGTGGTTGCTGTTTACCAACCTACTACCACAGGGCGGTAGTACCTTCCTGGGCAGTTGCTGTCTACCAACCTACTACCACAGGACGGTAGTACCTCCCTGAGCAGTTGCTGTCTACCAACCTACTACCACAGGACAGTAGTACCTCCCTGAGCAGTTGCTGTCTACCAACCTACTACCACAGGACGGTAGTACCTCCCTGAGCAGTTGCTGTCTACCAACCTATTACCACAGGACGGTAGTACCTCCCTGAGCAGTTGCTGTCTACCAACCTACTACCACAGGACGGTAGTACCTCCCTGAGCAGTTGCTGTCTACTAACCTACTACCACAGGACGGTAGTACCTCCCTGAGCAGTTGCTGTCTACTAACCTACTACCACAGGATGGTAGTACCTCCCTGAGCAGTTGCTGTCTACTAACCTACTACCACAGGACGGTAGTACCTCCCTGAGCAGTTGCTGTCTACCAACCTACTACCACAGGATGGTAGTACCTCCCTGAGCAGTTGCTGTCTACCAACCTACTACCACAAGACGGTAGTACATCCCTGAGCATTTGCTGTCTACCAACCTACTACCACAGGACGGTAGTACCTCCCTGAGCAGTTGCTGTCTACCAACCTACTACCACAGGACGGTAGTACCTCCCTGAGCAGTTGCTGTCTACCAACCTACTACCACAGGATGGTAGTACCTCCCTGAGCAGTTGCTGTCTACTAACCTACTACCACAGGACGGTAGTACCTCCCTGAGCAGTTGCTGTCTACCAACCTACTACCACAGGATGGTAGTACCTCCCTGAGCAGTTGCTGTCTACCAACCTACTACCACAGGATGGTAGTACCTCCCTGAGCAGTTGCTGTCTACCAACCTACTACCACAGGATGGTAGTACCTCCCTGAGCAGTTGCTGTCTACTAACCTACTACCACAGGATGGTAGTACCTCCCTGAGCAGTTGCTGTCTACTAACCTACTACCACAGGACGGTAGTACCTCCCTGAGCAGTTGCTGTCTACCAACCTACTACCACAGGACGGTAGTACCTCCCTGAGCAGTTGCTGTCTACCAACCTACTACCACAGGACGGTAGTACCTCCCTGAGCAGTTGCTGTCTACCAACCTACTACCACAGGATGGTAGTACCTCCCTGGGCGGTTGCTGTCTACCAACCTACTACCACAGGATGGTAGTACCTCCCTGAGCAGTTGCTGTCTACTAACCTACTACCACAGGACGGTAGTACCTCCCTGAGCAGTTGCTGTCTACCAACCTACTACCACAGGATGGTAGTACCTCCCTGAGCAGTTGCTGTCTACCAACCTACTACCACAGGACGGTAGTACCTCCATGAGCAGTTGCTGTCTACCAACCTACTACCACAGGATGGTAGTACCTCCCTGAGCAGTTGCTGTCTACTAACCTACTACCACAGGACGGTAGTACCTCCCTGAGCAGTTGCTGTCTACTAACCTACTACCACAGGACGGTAGTACCTCCCTGAGCAGTTGCTGTCTACCAACCTACTACCACAGGACGGTAGTACCTCCCTGAGCAGTTGCTGTCTACCAACCTACTACCACAGGACGGTAGTACCTCCCTGAGCAGTTGCTGTCTACCAACCTACTACCACAGGACGGTAGTACTCCCTGAGCAGTTGCTGTCTACCAACCTACTACCACAGGACGGTAGTACCTCCCTGAGCAGTTGCTGTCTACCAACCTACTACCACAGGACGGTAGTACCTCCCTGAGCAGTTGCTGTCTACCAACCTACTACCACAGGATGGTAGTACCTCCCTGAGCAGTTGCTGTCTACTAACCTACTACCACAGGACGGTAGTACCTCCCTGAGCAGTTGCTGTCTACCAACCTACTACCACAGGACAGTAGTACCTCCCTGAGCAGTTGCTGTCTACCAACCTACTACCACAGGACGGTAGTACCTCCCTGGGCGGTTGCTGTCTACCAACCTACTATCACAGGACGGTAGTACCTCCCTGGGTGGTTCCTGTCTACCAACCTACTACCACAGGATGGTAGTACCTCCCTGGGTGGTTGCTGTCTACCAACCTACTACCACAGGATGGTAGTACCTCCCTGGGCGGTTGCTGTCTACCAACCTACTACCACAGGATGGTAGTATCACCCTGGGTGGTTGCTGTTTACCAACCTACTACCACAGGACTGTAGTACCTCCCTGGGCGGTTGCTGTCTACCAACCTACTACCACAGGATGGTAGTACCTCCCTGGGCGGTTGCTGTCTACCAACCTACTACCAACAATTTTTGCTACTTCTCTACTATAAATTTTATTAAAAAATATTTGCTGCCTCTCTTTGTATAATAATACATAATTAATATTTACCACTCCATAACTTATTTCTAGTTTTAACCCTTAAACTGTCCAAATGTAGATCTATGTTCATGTGCGTAGCGCTCCAAACGTAGATCTATGTTCATGTGCGTAGCTCTCCGAACGTAGATCTATGTTCATGTGCGTAGCGCTCCGAACGTAGATCTATGTTCATGTGCGTAGCGCTCCGAACGTAGATCTATGTTCATGTGCGTAGCTCTCCGAACGTAGATCTATGTTCATGTGCGTAGCGCTCCGAACGTAGATCTATGTTCATGTGCGTAGCGCTCTGAACGTAGATCTATGTTCATGTGCATAGCGCTCCGAAAGTAGATCTATGTTCATGTGGGTAGCGCTCCGAACGTAGATCTATGTTCATGTGCGTAGCGCTCCGAACGTAGATCTATGTTCATGTGCGTAGCGCTCCGAACGTAGATCTATGTTTCATGTGCGTAGCGCCCCCGAACGTAGATCTATGTTCATGTGCGTAGCGCTCCGAACGTAGATCTATGTTCATGTGCGTAGTGCTCTGAACGTAGATCTATGGTTTATTTTACATGCTTTCAAATTTAAAAAAAAAAAAGTAGATCTACACTTGGAGCATTACGCACGTGAACGTAGATCTACATTTGGACAGTTTAAGGGTTAAGTAGTGTGTAAGTATCAGTATCTGCCTGAAAAACACCGCATGCTTGTGGCTTTCTATGTTGTTAGGTAAGACACATATGCAACAGTTAGACAACTTTATTCCGAAACATTTCGCCTACACAGTAGGCTTCTTCAGTCGAATACAGAAAGTAGGCAGGAACAGTAGAGATGTGAAGATGATGTAATCAGTCCATCACCCTTGTAGTCGTAGAATTTGAGGTTGTCAGTCCCTTGGCCTGGAGAAGTTCAGTTCCATAGTCAGGAACTATGTTCCTGCCTACTTTCTGTATTCGACTGAAGAAGCCTACTGTGTAGGCGAAACGTTTCGGAATAAAGTTGTCTAACTGTTGCATATGTGTCTTACCTAACAACCTGTCGGTATTGTATACCATTTTGATGTTCAGCTTTCTATGTTCTTAGCAATATTTTATTGCGTGTAAACTACATACTGTATACTACACAAAGAAATAAAAATAATTATTTTATTCTCTATTTTTTTATTTCTATTCAATCACTCCACAAAAATGAGGATCAATGAATCAGTTTGAAATAATCAGACATTTGAAATTGTACCATTTGTTCATTATCAGCCTTTCTTACTGTGCAAACAATTGTAGTTAAGTGTATGACAAATTCTAATTAAGTCTATGTCTAAATCTTTACATGCATAACAAATCCTACTTAAGTATATGTCTAAATCTTTAGTTGTCCTTAAAGCATTAGAATTAGTTTGCCCAAAATGCATTGCATACTAGTGGCTTTCTTTTGTGCCTACCAATGTTATATTACATGTACAGTGGAACCTCAAAAATCGAACTTTCTTCGGTCCAGAAGGCTGTTCGAGTGCCACTACTGAACGAATTTATTCCCATCAGGAATAACGTAAATTAGATTAGTCCATTTAACCCTTTGACTGTCGCGGCCGTATATATATGTCTTACGAGGTACCGTGTTTGACGTATATATACTCTTTAAATTCTAGCGG